CCCAATAGATAAGTAGTTTTTTCTTTTTGTCTTTATCTAATGTTTCTACTTGCACTAATGCCTTAATGCAATTTTCATGCCTCGATCGTTGCTTTACCAATACTAGGGTCTGGTTTATAGTAATAGTGTTATAGTTGGAATAGTCTTGTAGTATTAGTATATATAGTGAATTGTCATAGTTGAACCAGCAAGTTTTCTGACACAACTTACAATTTCACACTTTTACAGTTTGGTGATAACTGTGAGATTCTACTAAACAATATTTAATCCTTATCTATACACAAACATTGCTACTAACAAAACAAAATAAATATATACTTAATTAAAAGCATCAAAAACATGTTTCAACAAAGAAACAAAGCAAAATCAGTACTTATTCTTAAAAAACCTGCAAACACTCCCAGTAATTCATCAAAAATATCTCAAGACCTTCTTGATTTTGAAAACCAAAGCTCCACCAGCGCTTATTCATCCCAAAATCACCAGGAAAGCATCCAACTTATTTTGAGAGACATCGCCAAGGCATTTAGAGACGCTGCCATGGAAGTAGCTCATGAGGAGGGTCTTGACAATCAACACCGGGGCCTAAGACTAATTGGTTTCAAGTTAAAACATTCTATGGGACTGAAATAAAGACCCTGTTGAATGGATAGAAGCATTTAAAAGAGCTGCTAATGCGAATAACTAGCCTAAACCAAGAAGAATCGCCATCGCATCGGGATAACTGTCTGGAATCACAGCTAACTGGTATAGTGATTAATAAGGATAATCTCAAATAATGGGATAATCAAATCCAACTAAAGCCAGCTTTGCCCTGAGTTTGTTAAATATTTCGTGATACCAGAAAGGCGTCACTGATAGCAAATGGATCTAAATTTATTAACTCAACAAGAAAATGAAAAAGTCGATCTTTATGTATACAAATTTAAGAGGTTGCAAAAAAGGTTCGATTCAGAGAATAAATTACTATTCACCTAAATTGTCAGGATATTTATAGGTGGTCTAAAGAGTAAAATTACAGCATTTATGTCCATCATTGAACCAGAGACCCTTGACACTGCTATTAAAAATGCCAAAAAATAAAAAGCTGGTGAATATTATGAAAAAAGAAAAGGAGAAGACCCTACTAACCAACTCATCAGCACATTGACAAATAAAATGCAGCAAATAGCTGCAAATTATAAAAAACTAACTAATATATTAGCAGCCAGAGTTGAAGTTAACCCCTGTACCAACCAAAATAGGCCATCCCAGCCTCGACAGACCCCAAAAGCAGTATTGAGTGCTATAATTGTAGGGAAAGAGGCTACTTTGCTAGGAACTGCCTTTTTGAACGACGCCAAAACACCGGAAGACCTCCCGTAAATTCAAATGGTAATGGGTTACAGCCAAGAAACATTAATCTATATGACATTTATACACGAGAGCCAGGAGAAGAGTTATATACTATTAAGCATCGAGAAAGACCTGAAAATAAATCTAATTGAGACAAAAGATTAAGAAAAAAGAGTCACCCTGAACCAAATCAGATGACTCAACAACCAATCCAGCCCATCCTGATGGAGGAAGTCGTTCCAGAACAGCAGCAGGCAGACGTAACACCCCAACCCATCATAATCAACTCACCAAGATGAAGATGAGGGCTTTCTGTTATCAATTTAGCTACACCATATAATATTGCCAATGATCTTCTAAATCAAAAAGCCAACGCAACTTATGCACAAATGCTTTAAATCCCTAAACAAAGGCGCAATCTTGTTGAGGCATTAAAACAACCCTTAATTATAGTTGTAGAAGAATTCTGGGTCACTGAAAATCAAGTTAACTATAGGCCCACAGCGGCAGAATGTTATGTTAGGATTCAAAACAACCCTATATTAGCTGTACTAGACTCTGGGACTGCTGTTAGCATTTTATCAAAAAAATTAGTAAATAAATTGGGTCTCACCATCAAAGAGCCTTCTAACACAATAGTGGTCACTGCTAATAGTACAAGAGAAAGAGCATTAGGAAAACTGCCAGACCTAAAATTGTGTATCAGAAACGTAATAATACCTACCAATTTCCAAGTTATCAAGAATAACGAAGAAATGATGCTACTAGGAATGGATTGGTTCCAAAAGGCATATGCTTGACTCCATTTTGATGAAAAAAAGTTGTTCCTCTGGTACCTGGGCAAATGTATAGAAGTGCCAATATACCAAGCCAAAGAAGCAGCCAGAAACATCACCTGAAATCGGTAATGATAACAGTGACTTTTTGATAATTATAAGGAAGAGGAAATGGAGGAAGTAGAAAGCTAGTATACCGATAAATCTAAAGATGATGAAGAATTATATATTAACCCTTGGAGGGATGAGTATAGCCTGGCCATATATTTAATATTGATCAAAAAATACCCACCTCCAGGAAAGATGAAAGCTACGATGCCACCCCTGAAAATTGCATTAAGGCATTAGTGCAAGTAGAAACATTAGATAAAGACAAAAAGAAAAAACTACTTATCTATTGGG